GGGCTCAACAACAGATTCGATATATATCTTCAAGATATATCATCAATCGAAGATATATATCTTCAAAAGCTTGATTTAAGTCTTATTAAATTTTTATAAATAACGAATTGATTTAGAATCATATATATTATTGAAAGCTTAATATTTAAAATTTTTGTCATTTCGTCTATAATAATTAATTGAGTCATATCTATTAATTGTCCTAATACCTCCCTTACGTTTTCGTGTTTTTGATGAATTAATCGGCGGGTAATAAGGGTGAAAAATACTTTATGCGATCGAGGAGTCAATTATAACAGTTTAATCATTTATAGAACTTTATGACGTGTACAGGCGAGACACATTGGCAACAGACAAATAAGATTAAATACGCATTAATTGAATATATATATATATATATATATAATATATATTCGCGAATATATATTGATGTGGCGAACAGCGTTGATTGGTGGCCGGTAGATTTACAACATGAAAGAAGAATTAAATTTGGCACGTGATCATCCGTGGTATCTTCTGATATGTATCCTGCGATTACACAATCTCACCGCTCTCCGCCATCATTTGTCGTTGTAATTTTATCGTTCGTAATTCACCCATTCGTATTGTTAGGTCTGTTCGCGTTGCTTGCAGTTTTTACATTCAGAATCATTGCTTTTTCTCTTTTTAGCGCTCGAATATATCTATATTTATTTTTTCTCGTTCTTTTTGTGTAACAATTTTGAGGGATTTCAAACAACGCAAACAAATTTGTTTTTCCGTGTTATCATTCTTTCTCTCTCGCTCTCTCGCTTTGTGATACTGGGGGGGGGGGGGGGGGCAGTCCACAAAGAACAGACGATGGAAGTAATTTTCATAGCTAAATCTTGAGAGCTCTAAGATCAAACAACTTGTGAGAGGATGAGAGGAAGGATTTTCTCTTTCTTCGTCTTGCTCCTGCCAGAAGATTCAGGAACACACCCAGCGAAAAAATGGTCGTTCAGATTTCCATAGAAATATCTAGATCACTACCTCCGTAATGTAGATTTCTCTACCAATTTGATGGGATGACGCCCATCTTTACTCAACCAAACTAGCATTCCGAAAGAAATATATATAGGGTAACTGTCCCTATTAATGTGCCTTTTAGCCAATTTGCTTATTACTGAATTAATTATTAAATATTGTAGCTTTAATTTTATCTGCTTGCAATCAATATCGGTTTTTCAACTACTTCTTTTTCTTATAATATTTCTTTAATCTAAAAAATGTTAATACTTTATAATGCTTTTGACAAAAATAGAAAACATGTTTTTGTCCCTATTAGTGAGTCCTCTAAGTGGCGATGGCCCTATTAATGTGCCCCTAATTTGTGTGGCTTTCCACATTTGACTCATTTTAACATATAGTTACTAAAACAGATAATAAATTTAAGCTAATTGTTTATGTTAATATTACATAAATCATTCTTTCAATTATATTTATTTCAAAGTACACTCATAATACAACGTTCTCAGTTCCAATACAGGACACATTAATAGGGACAAGTTTAAAATCTTGCGGTACGTATTACTAAATTTATATAAATTCCTCGTATCTTTCGAAAAATATTTAAAATACTTTAATACTCAAAAAATAAAATATTATCTTCGGTATCGTATGCATTAATAATTTAACTTAACAAAAAAAATATTTTTTCTTATTTATTTATGCTAGTTTTTTTTATGACTCATCGAAATACAAAAGCACACACTAATAGGGACAGGCACAGTAATTGGGACAGTTACCCTATGTCATCTAACACCAGTTAATAGTAACAACTGTTAGTTATAATTTCCTACTCAACTGTAATATAACATTACAATTGTATAACACATAATAGTTACATTGTTGAGTGGGAAATTATAATCAATAATTATGTACTATTAGTTGATGTTTGTTGAGATTATAAATTTTATTCTCAATTGAAAAGAACATACATATAAGGCATCTTTCCACAAATTCATACAAAAATACTTAAAAGAAAAAAGCAAAAAAATATAATACTAAAATAATTCTAAAATAAATAACATTAAAAAATAAAGAGTAGGAAAAATAAATAATTAATACTAAAACAGAAAAAATATTTTTTGGTTTTATTCACTTACAATTACAAAAGATATAATTATGTCCCAGATGATGTTCACAGGTAACACCAATACTCATTCAAGGCATTATTCTGTACGTGATTACTGGATACAAATGGCATCTCGGTTTGATCTGTAACTATAGCATTTTACACTCTAAATTTCTTGCAGTGCAATCTCACTCCAAGAGAGTGAAAATACAACCACTCTTGAAAAAAGTGAAAATATTTCACTTCTTGAAAAAGAATGACAATTTTCACTCTTTTTAGAGCAAATTTTCACTTTCTTTTTTCAAAAAGAGAAGAATGGTTATATTTTCACTTTCTTGGAGTCAGATTTCACAGCA